CCTAAATGCCCGTGCCTTTCATTTTACCAGCCTTTCAACGACCAATGGGCCCGAATGAACGACCGGTATAACGAACGACGACGAAAAATGTCTCATGGGCATAAAACGCAACCCTGACAGGCTGCGAACACAGCCATCTTGGATGCGAACGAAAGATAAAAAATACCATGGTGTATCTTCCCGTGTTCTATCGATGGGTTCATTCTCGTTTTGAAATTGTCTAGTACCGCGTGGACGCGGGGAACGCAGCCCTAAGGTAGCCAAATCAATGAGACTAAGAGGTCGCACAAGAGAGAGAGAGAGAGAGAGAGAGAGAGAGAGAGAGAGAGAGAGAGTTTTGTTCCATTTGTTGATACGAGTGTGAGAGAGAGAGAAAGAAAGAGAGATAGAGAGAGAGGGAGGCGGAGAACCTTCTAGAGAGAGAGAGAGAGAGAGAGAGAGAGAGAGAGAGAGAGAGAGAGAGAGAGAGAGAGAGAGAAAGAGAGGTTGAATGACAAATTGAGGCCGCGATCTATTTCGCTGTTGGAATGATTTTTTTAAATTTATTTTGCGTTTTCTTGGAAAGATCACAACAAAATCTATGAGTACTTCAATTTCAGGCTTTTTCACGCATTCTTTTGAGAGTGAAAACTCACTGAATTTTGAGTACTTTTTAAGTTGGCCCACACATGGCTGAGTGGCAAAAATGAAAAATGTGCCGAATCGGCACGACAATTATTTCTCGGTCTAAATGATTTTTTAAAAATGTTCTAATATTGTTTCTAGAAAGAACACGACCTCATATATGGATTCTCAAAATTTCAGATTTTTCTGCGGGTTCCTTCGAGCACAGAAAATCGTCAAAGGTGCCTCTTGCAAAACGCCTGTTTCGTTGCGCCTGACGTCCCTGTTTTGAGAAGACGGGCCTCAATGCATGGGCCTGAGGGCCCTTACCCGATTGCCACTTCTTTTGGGGGTCCAATTCCACCCGAGGACCGGTCCTTCGTTTTTCCAAAAGTCTCGGTTCTACCAGAGCTAGCTGTAGGTAGTCCGCAATTTTGGCAAGGACCGGTTTTCCAATTTTTTTTGCTCCCTAAGAACCCACTTTGGGTCTTGGTCGCCCGCCGCCAAAAATGCGACACCTTGACACAGACACCGAACCCAGTAGGCCGCAGTTGGAATGATTTTTAAAAAATTATGTAGCGTTTTTCCTGGAAAGATCACAACAAAATCGACGAATACTCCAATTTTCAGGTTTTTTCACGCATTCTTCTGAGCGCGAAAACTCACTGAATTTTGAGTATTTTTTTAGTTGGCCCAAGCATGGTTGAGTGGCAAAAATGGAAAATGTGTTGAATCTGCGCGACGATTATTTCGCAGTCTAAATGATTTTTTGTAAATGTTGTATTATTATTTATGGAAATAACACAACCTCATCTATGGATTTTCAAAATTTCAGATTTTTGTGCATGTTCGTCTAAGCACAGAAAATCGCCAAAGTTGCCTCTTGCAAAACGCCTGTTTCGTTGTGCCTGTCCTCCCTGTTTTGAGAAGACGGGGCTCAACAGTTGGGCCTGAGGGCCCTTTTGCAGTTCACATGCCCTTACTTCTTTTTGGGGTCCGCTTCTACCCGAGGACCGGTCCAATGCCCCCCACTTCTTTTTGGGGTCCACTTCTACCCGAGCACCGGTCCTTCGTTTTTCCAAAAGTCCTGGTTCTACCAAAGCTAGCTGTAGGTAGTCCGCAATTTTGGCAAGGACCGGTCTCCCAATTTTTTTTGCCCCCTAAGAACCCACTTTGCGTCCTGGTCGCCCGCCGCCAAAAATGCGACACCTTGACACAGATTGACTTACCGTGAGGGCACGGGTGCGCATCCCGTAGTTCGTTTGTTTATGTGGTTCGGGAAGGGTAAGGTATTGATCATGCTGTATGTATGTTTTGTCATGTTCGCTATATACAACTCGAAGAGTATGTGTGTGCGGGGTGTCAGTTGGTGCTTTATTCACGATGTTCATGGGACGCTGGACCTAGTTTCCAGCAGGTGGCGCTCCCCATCAATAGACAAGAGAATGTATATGTGTGTGTATGTGAGTGTATGTGTGTATGTGTGTGTGTGTGTGTGTGTGTGTGTGTGTGTG